TGAAGAGGAAGGGCCCCGGCAGGCTACACACCCTGCAGTGGCCTGAACTCAAAGCAAAGAGGGTGGAATTAGCACACTGTTCATGGGCTCCTCTAGCCCATCCCAAGGCATCCTCGTGTGGCTGCAAGGTCTCCCGCAAGGAGTCATCAGGGTTGGGTGTTTTCATGCTGGCGTTGAAGCAGCCCTGTGCATCGGGGTGCCAGTAAGGCTGCTGCAGGACCGCTCCCAGATACACCCAAGTGGTGACAACGTCGCCGCTGTGCCGCGCCTGCGCACCAAAGAGTGGCGTACCTGCCAATAGCTCGGCAGTCCGACGCTCCCGAGGTCTGCGACGTGGCAGCGTTGACAGATGTGCGAGTTTCGACAGAAGGAGCGGGACAACTTCGGCAGCCCACTCCGCCATGCCAACCTCAGTATGAAGTCGGCCAGGCTCCTTAGCGAAGACAGAGAACCCTCCCTGGGCGTCGGTGGACGGCTCCGTCACAAAAACGACTCCCACTGACTCGCGTGTGCGCCGACAGCAAGGGCTGCCCTGGTCAGGTACAGTTGGCGCGAAAGACCAAACCGTATCGTCTGGGGCCGGCATCCCAACACCAGCGGAGGCCTGGAACTCCTGCGTGTCAAGGCACAGATCTTGCAGGTCAGCGACCTCAAATAGCGCCGTCGGAGCAGCATCGTGATCTGACAGAATGATGTGTTTGCCTGGGAGCAGAACCCTGAGAACCCACAGCGCGTAAACCTTGCCCCACCAGACCACCGCCCGACGCAAGCCTGTGGCTTGGCGGAGTGGAAAGAAGACACAGGTGTGCCGCTCATTATGCCTACCCATCCAGCAACACCTGTTGAGAATATGTGGCAGGGTGTGGCGCGTATGGTCATACTCCTCCAACGAGTCCGTGTCCGTGAACAGCCACAATGTGTGGCAATGCACAACCGCGGGATCTGTGCAAAGCCATACCGCATAACGCGCGAGAGAGTCCAAATTTACTGGTATGGTTGGCTCATACTCGCACGGGGTCGCCGGAATTTGGCCAAAGGGGAGCAGGTCCTCACTGATCGGTAGCTCCTGGAAACCGTAGATGGAGTCAACGGCATCGCTGCTGTCCTCGACCGGTGCACGTCGCGTGCCTCCCGCCCGAGTATTCAGTCGGGTGACCAGCATGCCCACAAAGCCGTGCCCTAGTCGGCGATCGTGCGAGCAGACAAGCACAGGCAAGCTGCCACACAGTGCCATATAGTCAAAGGCTTCCGCAACCGTCGCAAGATAACCCGCAATGGAAAAAGGGGAGTCGTCCGTGTGCATGGGGGCACCTTCCTGAAAGACACGCCAGGTTGCCGGGTATTCGGTGAAGTCAGGCACGTCCGTGAGGCCGGGAAGCACCTGCACCAAAAGGTGTCCCTCGTACAATTGAAGGTGAAGGTGCTCCATACCCGATATCGCATGCTGTATGGACGCCAGAGCCAGGGATATGGGCCGATGAAGTTCGGTACCCACACCGCTGACCACATGGCGCGTGTAGAACAATTGGACAGCCATGGCGCATACTACCACCGATGAACAGGTTGCCCCAACCCCTGGCCGGCGACGTATGTCACCGCCTGAGCCGCGATTAAGAATCATCAGCATGCAAACGGCTCAGGGCAGAACTCGATGCCCCCCCCCCCTCCCCACAGGACATTTTGAGCACTCCAATCCTCCCTCAGCATGTGGCATGTAGAGCATGGAGCACTGGACCGCCACTGCATGTTGACAAAAAAGGGCGCGGATACCGGTCCGGCTTATTGGGCCAGGGCCCAACACCCACCGCCGGGCAATCAACCCAAGTAAAAGGTTTGATAGGTGCGCCGCACAGCCGGCACACTTTTTTTGGCGTGAATGGGCCTTGTTGACTACGGCTGTAGCACTCGGTCCCTTACACCTGGAATCCGAGTGGAACGATCATTTGAAAGCTTATTGCAACCAGACTTGCCTGAAAGTGCGCTGCGCCAGGAAGGCAGAAACACGATTTTGAGACCCTACAGACAAACAGACAACAAACTAAGCTAAACACTACAAAGCGGTGAGACCAAAAGCGAAGCTCTACAAGGGCTGCGGCGCACAGACTTTGCCGGTGGTGGCCGTTCAGCACAACAAAGCAACAGGTGGAGCCAAGTCCAAGCTCCGGCAGCCGTTCTAGTCTTGCCAGACAACGGGCAGCCCCTGCGCTTTGTTCCATCACGATCCAGCACACCAAAGTCCAAAAGTCCAATGTTCGCCAACGGCTTCCAGATCTATCGGTGCCCGAGTCGTTGCGACTTAAAGCCGGCCAGAAATCGAACACAAACGATCCACGGTGTGCAAAACCAGTGGCGGATTGGCTGCCGGCGTTCAATTCCACCAAACATCGCACAGCCGGCACACTCCCTGCTGGCGGGAAGCTGCTTCTTACGGCGGCTCCGGGTGTCCTCGCGTGTTCCCGAGAGGACCCCAGGCGCTTTGTCCACTGCTGCAGCACCTGCGCATCCCCGCAAAGCTTCCGGATCACGCAGTCCGCTCCAACCGGCAGTCGCAGTGCGGACAACTTGCATGGAGACCTTGGGAAGATGCTCTTGGCCAACAGCTGCGCTCGCACCCTGCAATCTTCGGAGTAGAAGTGTCCTGATTTGATCTCTTCCCCACAACTGCCACTTGCACTTCGGCACGGGATTCGCGTCTGAGCTGGCGGAAGCGCTGCCACTGCTCGGACTTGTCGCAGTCCACTGGAATTGAATAGAGGCATTTGTCTTAATGTCTTGGCAAGGTTTCTCCTGTGGTCTGGATGTTATCACCCTCCACTGGTGTAGAGGCATTTGTCTCAACGTCTCAGCAAGGTTTCTGTTGTGGTCTGGATGTTATCACCCTCCACTGGTTTGGAGGCAGTTGTCTCAATGTCTCAATATCTCAGCAAGGTTTCTTCTGGAGACCCAGAATCTTCCCTCCGCCCATTTGTCTTAATGTCTTAAGGTTTTCTTCCAAGACCCAGAAGCTTAACGCCCCGCCCTCTACACCCGCTGAGGCTCCTCTTCCTTGAGCATGAGGTCCGTTAATAGCCCGCATTGGCCGCTTATCATCCAGACATGCCGGAGCTCGGCGCGCACCACTCCCGGTTGGTCAGGTCCCGGGTTTATGCAGCAACTGCCCTGGGCGTCCCACAGGCGCACCTAGTCCAGGCACACTTCAAGTTTAATAAAGCTGTTGCCTTGAGCCGAAGTCTTTAGGGGCAGGAGACGAAGCGGCTCTCTGTGTCTTGTGTAGTGAGCATGTGGCCGAAAAGCTTCGAGTCCGCCATGGAGCGGCTGGCAGCGGGGCCTTCTAACCCCACCACGCAGCTCCTTCGCCGCCTCATTGGGCTCCAGACACAGGCAGCCTCCTAGCGTGCTCGCCGTTGTGGGCCGTGGGGTGCCACAAGCTAGGCTAGCGGTCAACGGGTTGATAGCGCTTTAATTTAGGATGTTGTTTTGTAAAACTGGGTTAGTTTTACTTCTTCCGATTAAGTGCTATCTCCAGCTTGCCTGGCGAACACCTTATTTCGCCACATCATTTCACGCGCGCACGTACATTTCTCATGTCGGGCGCGCAGACAGATTTTCTCACATTGTCCTGGCATTGTTGTCTCACGGTTTTCACACATGTTTTATTTCCTGTTGGTTGCAAAATTTTGTGAACTGCTCGGACGTGCAGCAACTACTCTCTCAAGGAGGGAGTGCCGGCAAAATTTTGCCTGTAGCGGGTGCCAGCTGCGACGTTCTTAGTACCCACGGGGAACAGTTCTCGCTCTGGCTGGTGTGCTCCTAGGCCTGTTGCATGCAAGGCCAAACGATTTGGGGAGTCGACCTTGACTCCTCTGATCGCTCCGCTAGCCAGTCACCCTCTACTGTCTCTTTAGTTAGCCGGCACGTGCATCAGCTGGACTTGCAGTTGCGGACGCTTAGTGCTCACGTCGGTGCTTGCGAGCGTCGAACCCGTCAATTAGAAGCTGATCTGGCTGACCTTCGTCAGGCTGCTCCTCCGGGCTGTTCCACGTGGTGGGACATCTTTGCGTGCTGTTTTTCGCGACAGCAGCAGTTGCTTTGAGGGGCTTTCACCCAGCTTTCATGTTTTCGGATTTGCTTGATAACATGCGACGCGCTTCTGCCGATCCTTGGTCGCGCCCAACAGGCTTTGAGCGCCCTGAATTGGCGGACGATCCAATTGAAGATTTCACTGATAGTGCTGCGGATACATATGCGGTCTCAGCTGAGCGTGCAAGCCGCCGTGCTAGGCTTGCCTCCAGGAGTCGCTCGGATTCTCGCCGCAGGCCCAGGGTTTCGCAGAGGCTTCATACTGTCCCTGCTCAGCTTGGGCATCTTACTGTGCGGCCCCGCGTGAGCTTCTTACCTGCAGTGCCTCTCACCCAACCTCACCTTTTGCCAGGGGAACATGTTCAGTACTTGCAGAATCTTTTGCAACGGCAACAGAGTCAGCTTAGCGATTTTGCATTGGAAGTTGCTGCGTTGCGCCGCGTTGCAGCGGAGCAACAGATGCTGGCAAGCCACAGGATTGACGAGGTCGAGCGGCGCTTGCGTCGTGTTGACGCACTCCTGCAGCACATCATGCAATATCTGCAGGTGCCACCGTTGCGCCCTGCCCGCTGCGACTAAGGTGCCCCTTTTTGGTTCCCTAATTCCTGCCCCAACCCTGTGCCACAGCCGATGCCCAGCTTTCCGGCGGACCCCTAACTTGTGCCCTGAGCTGCTGCGGCCTCGCTCCGAGTTTTGTCTTGCATCTTCGAGGCGGGCTGGAGCCGTGCAGCAATCAGTGATCTGCTTGGCGTAGGTCACTGTGATTTTCCGAGCCTGGGCTCTTCACGTGTGATGCTGCTGGCATGCTACAAACTGTCACCTGTTTTGCTAGGGGAATCTGCAGGCTCACTCCTCATGCTTGACTGCTTGCATTAAGTTTTCAGGATCAAGCTGCATTAAGAGTCTTTCAACTCGGTGTGATGGCTGGGGGTGGTGACTTTGATCAAGGTGCCAGGGACAGGCTTCGCCGCATGTCTGTCGAGGCCCTGACGACGGCGCCGAGTATCGCTGCCCTTACTTTGCCTTGGGAGACAGGACCGCTGGCGGCCATTTTTGGGAAACCGGAAGTGCTGCCTAGGCCCGCGTTAGACATCGAAGATGTCATTGACACTGCATCTGTCCGGCCTTTGGGGCCTGAACCGTCGGAAACTGTCCCAGGTGATAAGAAAGCTTTCACTGCAGCATGGAACAAGGATACATTCAGACGTGATCGCCTCCCTGAGCGAGATCGGTTCAATCTCGTGTACCAGGAGTGGCTTCAAGTGATCCTTCCATGGGCTGGCGATAGAACTGTGCTCGGCTTCATGGTGTCTGCTGCAGCCGACCAAACTGAGAAGCTTGCAGTTGTCACGCAAACCCTTGGCGGCAAGGCCTTGTCGACACTCGAGAAGCGGCTGAGGCAAGTGAAAGCATTCCTGGCATGGGCCCTACTTGCGAGTGTTACGCCATTTCCTATGACTGAGCATGCATGCCGAATGTATTTGAAGAAGCTGGTGGAAGAGAAGGCACCTGCCTCTCGCATCAAAGGCGTGCTGGAGATGGTGGGGTTCCTCAGACATGTTGTTGGCCTACCCGTTGCTGAGAATGCAGGCGATTCACCTTGGATTCGCGGGGTGCTACGGATGGCCGCGGCGAATGCCAAGCCCACTGCCAAGGCTCGGCCGCTCACGGTCGGAGAGGTTGCAACACTCGAGGCTTTCGTCAAACGCAGAGTGGGAGCATTGCAAGACCTCTACGCGGCAGGGTGCTTCTTGTTCTTGATCTTTTCGAGGGCGAGGTTCGGCGATTGCAAAATCATCAGTGATGCAGTCTTTGACATCGTCACGAAGAGTGGCGAGCTTGTCGGGTACATCGAGGTCATCTCTTGGTCGCACAAGATGCGGCGCCATTTTCCTTCAATCCCTTTGGTTGCCCCGGTTCAGGGTGCCACCATAGGAAGTTGGGTCGAGTCGTGGCGGTCCATCGCCACTGATGTGGGTCTCCCTCTTGAACGGTTTCAAGGAGGTGCCAAAGGACCATTGTTGCCACTCCCGAGCCAAGGCGGGTGGCTCGAGTCGAGTTGCTCGACGACTGAAGCGAGGGCTTGGCTGGTTCAGATTCTTCAGAATGCTGGGCATGTCGAGGCTCCGTCGCTAGGCGCTCACTCGTGTAAGGCAACTTGCTTATCATGGAAGATACGAGGACTCGCTTGGGCAATCACAATGATCGTGGATCTGCAGAGTGTTACGGGAGAGACACACTTGCCGCACCGTTGAGAGATCTGGAGGCGTGCATTTTGGCGATTCGCACCGGATCCTTCTTGCCAGACGTTTCTCGAAGTGGTTATTTCCCTGATATGCCTGACAAGTCACCGTCTTGTGAAGGATCAACCGAGCCGCAGGGTGGCATTGGCTCCAGTGATGTTGAAGCGAACAAGAGCTTTGACCTGGCTGAGCTCTCTTTCGGGGCACCGGCCGACCAAAGCGACTTAGACAATGATGCCAATGCCTCTGAGGGCTTCGAGCCTGATGCCATTGAGCACCCGGCCCCGAGCCCGAGCTTCCATGGAAGCAATCCTGCTCAGGATGTCGCACTCGACGAGTCGTCATCCAGTTCGACGAGCTCTTCATCGACGGACACGGAGGTGGAGTCGGAACCTGGCCCACACCTTGCCGCTCTTGAACGGCCAGTTTGGCGAGACGCTTGCCAGGTTTGGCAGCACAGGCAAAGCAGAACCGTGCATCTGCTCCCAGAGGCCGATGCAGAGTCAGGGTCCTTCGTGTGCGGGAGGGTCAAGTCGCAAGCCTACTTCCGAGCCACTGGGCATCCGATTGTCGATTCTCTGAAGTGTGTGCAGTGCGATCGTGGTAAAACCATCAGAAGCACGGCACAACTTGTGCATGTTCTTGACAAGAGGCGGCGCACTGGTTAGAGTGTGCCGGCGAGTGACTCGTGTGGACCCGTGTGAGAACCGCTCGGCGTGTGCTCCATGAGGACCCAGATGTCACCGCTCTTGCAAACATTTTCGGTGCAGCTGTGCGCTCCCTGTGGTGAGAGCCAGCAGCATCTCAACCTCGGCAATGCCGGGGGTTGCTACATTCGCTCGAGCAGTGGTTACAGGAGCTGGAACATGCTTGGGTTAGAGTGTGATGTCTTACATTTTCGGTGACGCTGTGCGCTCCCTGTGGTGAGAGCCAGCAGCACCCAGCCTCGAGCACGCCGGGGTCCGCATTCGCTCGAGAAGTGGTTACAGGAAAACTGGAGCACTCCTGCGGGCTTATGTGTTGTCGTGCATGGCTCAGCTATCTAAACGCTCGGCTTGCTCATCTCAAGTGTAGCTCAGTGCATGAGCCAGACGTAGACGCCTAAGATCCAGCATGTCCGGTGCCTCACTCTTGGATTCGAAAGCTGCCTTCAAAAACAAGGTGTTGGAGTATGGCTTGACCAATACTGTCTTCGAGGCCATTGTAAGACGTGGAGTCGACACTCTTAGCAAGGCTGCATATGCTGTGGGGGCCCCGGGTGTTGTACCCGCCGAAGATGCCCTGCGAGCCTTTCTGAATCCAGAGTCGCCTGCCACTGTTGAGCAGGGTCAGGTTGCAATTGCTAGGCGCCTAATCTTCGAAGCACAGACACTTGCAGTAAGCCAGCTGCGTCAGCAGATCGAGGGGCCGGACGAGAAGCGACAAGACCTTCAGCCCGCCGAAAGGAGGTTCCGTCTAGAAGAGCAAGCACGCCGCCTGGCCGGTATGTCGCTCCGCGGTCCGTTGGAATGCTCTTTCAGCTGCTACACACTTGTCATTCGCATGCTGGCCACTGATGAAATTACTTACCTCGCCCCTAATCGGTTCACCACTCGGGCTCATGAGGTTCAGCAATCCAAACCTCCCAAAGAAGTCATCATTGATGCATCGTCTGCCATCAAGGTGCGTGATTCTGCTGAGCTTGCCGACACGTGTCATCTCCCTGATGCACTCAGCTTAAGTCAGGCTTTGACTCGAAGGTCTCTCGCGCTTGACTTGTGTGAAGCCGCAACGTTTGCAGCCTCCGAACGGTGGCACGCCGAGCTTCTGAGACATTTGCAGCAGGCACCTCCCATGGAGTACAAGCAGGTGGATACCATGCAAATTTTGAGGGCTGACAGGGCGGCATGGACGTACATGGCCGAAAAAGGCACTTCCTTGAAAAAGCGTGCAGATGGGAGCTTGCCCATGGATGATCTCTTTGCAGCCCTCACCACGGCTACCGATGTCATGATGTTCCTCATGCCGCTGCCCGCGGGTGGCCAGAGCAAGCGCCCTTCTGCGTCACAGGTCATGGCGACGCCCAATGGTAGCACCGACCCACCCAACCCGACCAAGAAGAGCCGCACCAAGGCGCGCCGTGAACGCCAAAAGCAGCGTCTGCAGGAAGCCCTGGCACTCGCGTCTGCACCCCCATCTCATGCCTTCCCGCCCAAGCCTCCTGCTCCGCATGCGCACAATGCTCTGCCGCCTACGCCGCCCCAGCCCATTCCGAAAGGCAAGGGCAAGGGCAAGCACAAGCATCCCACCAAAGCCTGAGAGCCAGGCCTGCCGCAGGCACGCGTTGTCGACTCAGCCGAGTCCTTCTTCCAGGCCCTGCAAGAGCGTGTTCGCGGCAGGCCCCTTCAGTCTTTGCTTTTTGTGGAAGTTTTCGCGGGTTCAGCTCGCCTGTCAGGTGCTGTCCATGCGTGTGGCGTGGGCAGTGTCTTCGGCATCGATGCGTGGACACCCAAGTCAGCTCCAGCGCCCGTGGTCAAATTGGACCTCGCGCTTGATGAGGATGTCAGAGTGCTCTTTTTGCTGCTTTCCAATCGGGCCTTGGCTGCGGTGCATTTGGCGCCGCCTGCAGCCCTCCCAGGTCGTGGCAGTCCGCCACTTCGCTCACACGCGTTTCCGGACGGCCTGCCCGACCTTTCCCCACCCAATCAAGCCAAAGTTGCGCTGTACAATCGTCTCTTTGCATTGGCATCGACCCTTTTCCTTCAGGCTTTCCAGACAGGCATTGTTGCCACTCTGGAAAACCCAGCCTCCAGCCATTTCTGGCAAAGCAGTGCTTGGCTGGATGCATCTTCGTCGATTGTCACACTGCGATTTTCGTCTTTTCACACTTGCATGTTCGGGGCTACTTTCAAACGTCAGCTTTGCATTGCACACTTCCATGATGCCTTTCAGGCCTTGCAACTCCCATGTGATCATACTTCGTTGCACCCGGCGCATTCTGCGCCGAGGGAGTCGGTCACAACATACCCTGCTCCCTTCTGTAGAGCGTATGCGCAGGCTTTGCAGCATGCTCTTGGCGCGGCTGGCTCTCTGCCACCTGCGCAAGCCTTGCCGGGTCTTTCTGATATTCATCTACAAGCTAGGGTGGCTTCTGGCACGCAACCGCGCGGCAAACGGGTACCTCCTCTTCTGCCAGAACACAAAGCCATTTGCGTCTTGCAGGGTCCAGCGCAGTTGCTTCCTTCCGGGCCCGTGTTACAGCAGCCTTGGTTGCCTTGCGCAGGCGTTCAGTGCCAGCCGCATTATCCTCTCTTGCCTGCTAAATCACGTGTTCTCTGCGCCCTCCCTTGCGCGGGGATTGAGGAGGGCGGTTCTTCTCTCGATTCCAGTGGCACCCCGTCCTCTCTGGCCGTGGATGCTTTGTGCAAGGGTGACTTGTCTTCTGAAATGTGTGTTCAGGTGCTTCAGCAAGCATTCAACACCCCCTTGGAAGCTAGGCGTGCGGGCATTCTTCAGGACGGCCGACCTGTGGAATACTTTGTTTTGGGCGCCTACAAGTGCTTGCCGAGAAAGGGTGTTACCAAACTCACAGGTGAGCACCTTAGCACAGCTGCCTTCATAAATGCCTTTATGCTGCAACGTTTCCCGGATGCATCGTGGTCTGCCTTCGTCGTCACTCACAACGAGTCCTCGGCACTGCACGTGGACTCGGCAAATGTGCCGGGAACCATGAACTTTGCGATCGGCCTGGGAGGTTACTCCGGAGGCGAACTCTTTGTGGAATCAGAAGGCGGGGCCCATGCCTTTGAGGACCCGTGCACAGGCGAATGGCTGTGGGGAGACTGTCTAGCTCTCAACTTGGGACCGTGCCGGTTCGATGGTCGTGCAAGGCATGCTACCCTGCCGTGGGTCGGCGACAGGTGGTCGATCATTGCTTATTCGGCGGTTGTGCAAAATGATCTCTCCCCAACGCAGGAGCAAACGCTGTGGTCCTGCGGGTTTCCGTTGCCTTGGACCTCTGCCTTTTCGAAAGTGCCGTCTGCTCCTAGCAATGTCCCTCAGGTTCGCATGACCATTGGCATACCCTGGGACCCATGCGACTTCGCCAAGGAGGCAGCGAAGAGGGCATCCACGCCACCTCTTTGATGGAATTCCGCCTGTGCTCAAAACTGCGATCGATGCAACTGTCGAGCAGTCAGAAGTGGGCCTAGCGCAACACCGCACCGAGGTCCTTAGGCGATGGGTGCTTCGAGCGCAGGAGCTGGCTCCGCAGGAAAGGGCTCTCCATGATAGAATGCCGAAACACCTTAAGGCCGTCCTCAAGGGTAAGCGGCTTTTGGTCTTCGGCGAGATGCTCGTCGCATGTGGCTATGGCGACTCTTCAATTGCGTCCGAAATTGGGGAGGGCTTCGACTTGACAGGTCCGATTCCTGCGTCGGGTGGGCTCTTCAAACCCGTTGTGGAGCCGGCGTCGATGACCAAGGAGTGTTTGCGCGCCGCTGCCAGCGCAGTCCGTGCAGGCATTCTTCGCGCCACCGAACGTGTGTGCTCATCCGAGCTCGCGCAGGAGGTTCACGACATTACCAAGGAAGAGGTAGACCGCGGGTGGCTCGAAGGGCCCGTGCCACTTGAGCAACTGAGCGAAACTTGTTCCTTGAGCAGACGGTTCGGAGTTGAGCAGCGGTCCGGTGGGAAGCGCAAAGTCAGGCCCATCGACAACCTGTCGGAATCCTTTATCAACTCGACCGTTTCCCGCACCGAGTCGATTCAACCTCACGGCTTGGATGTGGTTTGTGCGGGCATCGCTTACAGACTTAGGGTCCGTGAGAGGTTCGGCCGTGCCAGCGTGCCAAAACTTAAAATCATAGACCTGCATAAAGCGTATAAGCAACTCGGCATTTCCCTTGACGCCATACAGGATTCTTTCTTGTGTGTGCCGAACCCGGAGACGGGCAAACCATCCATCTACGCCTGCCATGTGCTGCCCTTCGGATCATCTGCTTCAGTCGCGGCATTTTGCCGCAGCACGATGGGATTGTGGCACTTAGGGTGCGCTCTGTTGTTGATCCACTGGACGGTGTTTTACGACGACTTTATCGTCCTCAACGAGGCGTCGTCCACGAAACACCTTGACATGGTTCTCAATTGCTTTTGGGACTTGCTTGGATGGACCGTGGCACGGGACAAAGAATCCGATTTTGATTACTTTGCGAGAGCTCTTGGAGTCAAAATTTGCTTTCAGTCCGAGAGAGTCTTCGTGGTGGAGAACACCCCCGAGCGAAAGGCCGAACTTGACGAGACCATCACGCGCTTACTCGGTCTCGAGTGGGTGGAGCAACATGAGCTCACATCGCTGAGGGGGAGGTTGCAGTTCGTTGAGGGTCAGATCCATGGGCGCCGAAGCGGCAGGTTCATGCAGCTTTTGTCGCGGCGCGCAGATTTCATTGGGGGGTCCGCCATGGATTCCGACTTGCAGGCAGCCCTCACTTTCCTTAAGGATAGGGTTGTAGGTGCTCCCCCTAGGGTAATATCCGCGAGACGTGAGAACGCTTGGTTCATCTTCACTGATGCGGCCTACGGTGATGGCCAAACGAACAGTTGTGGGTTAGGAGGGGTACTGGTTGCACCTGATGGGAAGCCCATTAGATTCTTCAGTTGCTTGTTTAACGACGATGCACTTGAGGGCCTCAGGTTTGGCGATGTTCAGAGCCCCATCTACTTTCTTGAAGGCTTGGCAGTAGTGGTCGCGTTGCACGTGTGGAACAGCCTTGTGCAAGGCTCTGAGGCCGTTTGCTTCGTCGATAATGAAGCAGCCAAGTCTGCGTTCATTGCTGGCAAATCTCCTTGCGTGCACTTCTCAGCCCTGTCGGAATGGTTGAGTGATTGGGAGGAACGTGCCTCCTCGTTCCCATGGTTCGAAAGGGTGAGCAGTGCTGCGAACATTGCTGATGGCCCCTCGCGTGATGATTGTAGTCACTTGGCGGGTGTTCGCCGCGACGAGATTGATTTGCAGTCCATCATTCTCGCTTTGCAGTGCTTCTTGCCAGAGCTCTCAGTCGGCGGTGGGTGATGAGGAGAGCTCTGTTTGTTGTGTGACGACGAGGTGTGCGACCCTTGTTGTTTCACGATGCAGAGCCCTTCATCGTGTACTGCCTTTGTGTTTGTGCATGCACCGCTGACGTGCTCTGAAGTCCCCGCGCTCTAGAGTAAAATGAAGCAAGGGTTGTGCGAGTGACTGCAACTTCATATTCAATATATTTCGGATTCAATTTCACATATTCACATTTTCCCCTTTTCGTGGGAATATCTGTTGGAATGATTGTTGGAGAAATAAGTGCTATCTCCAGCTTGCCTGGCGAACACCTTATTTCGCCACATCATTTCACGCGCGCACGTACATTTCTCATGTCGGGCGCGCAGACAGATTTTCTCACATTGTCCTGGCATTGTTGTCTCACGGTTTTCACACATGTTTTATTTCCTGTTGGTTGCAAAATTTTGTGAACTGCTCGGACGTGCAGCAACTACTCTCTCAAGGAGGGAGTGCCGGCAAAATTTTGCCCCGCCCACCCGCCCGGGTGATGAGGAGAGCTCTGTTTGTTGTGTGACGACGAGGTGTGCGACCCTTGTTGTTTCACGATGCAGAGCCCTTCATCGTGTACTGCCTTTGTGTTTGTGCATGCACCGCTGACGTGCTCTGAAGTCCCCGCGCTCTAGAGTAAAATGAAGCAAGGGTTGTGCGAGTGACTGCAACTTCATATTCAATATATTTCGGATTCAATTTCACATATTCACATTTTCCCCTTTTCGTGGGAATATCTGTTGGAATGATTGTTGGAGAAATAAGTTGGAAAGAAAACTTTCAAGTGTTTTTCTCTTGAGAGCAATTCTTGTGTGCATGGCTTGTGATATGCTCCCGCCGTGAGGTTGTGCTCAAGGGAGCAAGTGAAGGCAGCATGGCAACATGGGCATAAAATTTTGCGCCACATCGGCCGTGAAGGAGTTTGAACGGGTACTTCAAGACATCTCTTGAGGACGGTTCAAGCCAGACAACCCGCGGGCCGAGTACTTCGTTGCACCCCCCCAGCAGACACAGGAGGCGGTCAAGTCTGAGCCCGATGCTCGTGATGAGGCACCGGACCTGCAAGAGGTCGTAGAGATCATCTCAGATTCTAGTTCCTCTTCTGATAGCGAGAGCGGCGATAGTTCTGGAACATCTTCCGAGGATGAGCAACCTGTGCACAAGGTCCAACGGCAGGACTGGCCGTGGGGATTGAAGGATTCGCTTATGCATGCAAAGTCGAAGAAGTGCCATTACGTGAGCTTCATGTGGCAAACTCGTGGTTTCGACCGCTGGTCCCGCTCGGGGTGTGGCAGTGTGGCACGAGCTGCACTCGTGCATGTATGGGTCAGCTCGGAAGAAACGCGCTGCCTTGCTTGCTACATGCCGCCTGCCCGGTCTCATGCTTCAGTGTGACAAGTCACACGAACACAAGAAATGGGGTCGTGTGCGCGACCAAAGTGGACGGGGCATGCACTATGCCACTGCCGAGGAAACCGCTTGCCCAGCAGGTCTGTGTACGGCCGCCGCCCGTGAGATCAGCTTGGCATTGCAAGACAAGGGCATCATGCTTGATGCGCGTGCGTCCTCGGACACGGCCCTGGCATCTTCCTTTGCGCAGCGGCAGCCTCGCCGCGGTCGGGGCACTGTGGGTCCACCTGAGTACAAACGGACTGTCCTTGTCCGGCTTCCGCTGGACTTTCAGCCGCCGGAACATGTGCCGGAGCAGCCCGAAGCGCCCCTTCGGGACATTCCTGCGGGCTCGAAGCTTCTGTGGACTCCCGTCTTTGTGGATGGGGGTGCTGAGGTGCGCGAGGCCCAATTCGGGGTATACCATACCCCTGATGAGTTTCTCCATGCAGCCTTGAAAGTGACCCATCCATTTGACAGTGCGGTGTCTATTGATGGCCCGAATCTTCGGGCGATTGCCTTCGCTCTTGAGCATGGGGTTAAGGCTGTGCAGCAGAAGCGTATGGAGGTCCTTGATCATTATCGTGCCTTGGAGCGTTCTCTGAGGGCTGATGAGGCTGCCCTTAAACAGGCAATGGACCCCACTGCAAGGGAGATCATGGGCTCCAAGAAGTTGCTTTTGTTTAAACAGATGCTAAAGGATGCTGGTGTTCCCGACGAGCGCCTCTTCGAAGACATGGTTCAGGGTTTCCGGTTGACTGGTCCTCTTGAGCCTTCCGGTTTGTTCCCCCTAAGTATAAGCCTGCCATCCTCTCCGTGGATGAATTGTCGCACTTCGCAGTGGTCCAAACACCTTGTGGAGGCTGCGTGTCGTAAAGCATCCCAGGACCCGGAGGTTGCTAGAGCTGTTTGGGAGGAGTCGCTGGGGCAGGTCGAGAAAGGCTGGCTGTCGGGGCCCTTCACATGGGATCAAATGGATCAGAAGTACGGTGGTACTTGGGTGGCATCCAAGCGCTTTGGGGTATCCCAGGGTGACAAGGTTCGTGCTGTCGACGATCTTTCCCAGTTTCAGGTGAATGCTTCGGTGACTGAGACTGAGAAGATTCAGCTTGAAGGCCTTGATGACATTGTGGCCCTTGCGCGATTCCACTTAGGAGCCACCGTGGCTGGCACCAAGGTCACCAAGGTGTTTAGACTTCCCTTGTCAGGCGGCGGTGTCTATCAAGGCCGATTGCATCCTGATTTTCGAGAGGGCCGGGCACGACGCTTGAATGGCAGAGCTCTTGACTTGCGAAGCGCATACAAGCAGTTAGCTCGTCACCCAGCCGACGATTGGGCTTCGGTGCTAGGCGTCCTGGACCCAGACACAAACACTGTGGCCTATTTTGAGAATTATGCTCTCCCGTTCGGTGCATCGAGCGCGGTGACAGGCTTTAACAGGGCTGCCCGAGCATTGCGCATTATCATGTCTAGACTTCTGTTCCTTGTGAATACGTCGTTCTTTGACGATTTCTGCCAACTTGAAATCGAGGGTCTGACCGATTCTGCGGATCAGGCGGCACTTGAAATGCTAGACCTTCTTGGCTGGGAAGTGTCTGACGGTGAGAAGCTGAAACCCTTCGCTTCGGAGTTCACCATGCTTGGTGCCGTGCTATCCTTCAAAGATGCTGGCAGGGGTCTGATTAGGGTTAGGAATAAGGCCGGGCGCTTGGAGGAGATTTCTGACATGGTGGATCGCCTCGCCTCTGACCCCACCTGTGGGGCGCGCTCTCTGCCGTCCTTGAAGGGCAAGCTCTTGTTTGCTTCTTCGCATGTGTTCGGTCGCTGTGCCCAGGTGGCTACTCAGTTGATTCACCATGCCGAGCGGCAGCAAGGTCCTGACCTGCAGAGCCGCGTTTTGGAATCTGTCCGGAGGGCGCTGGAAACCCTTAGGTAAGCCTTAGGGCTGCTGGGGATCGTCAGGTAAACCTGTGGTCTGAGCAGCCGCCCGTGGTCATCTTCACGGACGGGGCATGTGAGGAAACGGGAAACCAGGTGACGCATGGGGCGGTCATCATTGACCCGGCCTCGCAGACTCGGGAGGTGTTTGGGGGCCACATCCCCGCGAACCTCGTGGAGAAGTGGCGAAGCTCCGGCAGGACTCAACTCATCTTCTTTGCAGAACTTTATCCTGTCTTGATTGCGAGACGGACTTGGGCTAAAGTCCTGCGTAACAGAAACGTGCCGTCTCGCCTCGAGATAGCGTCTTATTCTTGACCGCTTAACATTCAAAATATGTTTTTGAATTGTGCCGCGCTTCGAAAAACTTCGGGCCCCACATGCTGTCTGATCTGATGGCGCTTGGCATATGCAGATTGTCTCTCAGGTGTGAGAGGAAACTTTTCTTGCAGGTTTTAGCGACTCCTCGGATTACTCTCTTGAGGATTGAGCGTGTCGGCAAGAAGGACAATAGGGGAGAGTTGTGGTTGTCATTTTGCAGTAACTTCTCCCGATGAGAAGCGACCTACCTGACTCGCCCGACTGGGGCGACAGTGATGCTGAGCTTGATGCTGAGCTTGCAGGTGAGCAGGGCTTTGTCTGGCCGGGGGACGACTGTCCCGAGCCTCCCGACCGCGGGGACGGCGAGTCCGACGGTGAGGCTGCAAGCTCCTTGAGCATGATGGGCGCAGGGATTGGCTCTTCGGGCTATTCGGGGGTTTCGGCTTTGGGCTCTTCGAGGGATCTTGACTCCGTCGACGTTGATGCAGACGGCCAGAGTGGTACATGCACTACGAACATGGGGCTTGCCTTTGTGCACGCCTTCAGCAGGCTGTCGCAACCCAGCGCCTCGCCTTCTTTGCTGTTGCCTTGGGAGACTCCCTTAATGAAGACCATTTTTGAGCCTTTGTCCGAGCCCCTGCCTGAGCTTAAGAAACCCTCTTTAGGCCTTGCCGACTTGTCCCCTCCCGAGTTTGCGAAGTATCTGCCCGATGCAAGTAGCAGTGCAAGTGCCGCGAAGCCTGTACATCCTAGCCTCGACTTCAAGGCAGGCCACGCCGCCGAACAGGCCATCAGAATGCTTGACGACGATGACTTCGAGAAGAAGCAGATTAAACTTATGAACGCTCGTATCGCAAAGTGGCATGTCATTGGTTTGAGGTATTCGGACGTATTTGAATTGCCTCGGCCTTCGGACGAGGAGATCTCGGCAATGATGGGCACTCGGTCAGTACGTACTGTGCTTGCCAGGGCAGGGTCCATGCTCCAGTTCGTCAGGTGGTGTGACACGGTGCGTGGTAGCAGTGATTCCATGTTCACTGATGAAGCTTACTGGGGCTATCTGCAGTTCCTCAAGACGAGTCGTGCAAGTGCTTCGAGAGGATCATCTTTCCTTTGTGCAGTGAGGTTTGCTTGGCATGTCATGGATCTCACAAAAATCTGCGGCTCGCCGTCACGGCGATGTGTGGGCCTTGCAGAACAAATGTCTGCTGAAAGAGGCACGCTGCGCCAGTCGGCGCCTTTGTTAGTGCAACAGGTGCTGCAGCTGCACCACATGCTGCATAGTGGCCTTGTCTCCAAGCTCGATAAGGCTTTTGTTGCATACATCTTGATTTGCTTGTGTGCCCGTTGCAGACAGAGCGACCTGGCAAAAGTGTCCTACGTTGAAGTGGATATCTCAGATTCAGGACTTGAGGGATACGTCATCTTTTACACGCGTCAGCACAAAACTGCGCGAGCTGCTCGAAGGTTGTCGCAAATGCTGCCCATCCTTATGCCAGTCTGTGGCATCGACGATCAAGAGTGGTTCTTGACAGCGCGGCGTGCCATGGAGGACATAGGCCATAGGCCTTAGTCTGGAGGGAAACATTGGTGGACCTGTGTTTCGGCCTCCGATTGATTTTGTCGAGGGTAGGCTGGCCCGGCGGGGAATCACATCAGAGGAAGTTTCTGCCTTCTTGAAGTTAGTTGTGCCGAGCCATGACGGGGTCTCTCGCATTGCATCCCAGAGTCTCAAACGCACAATGCTCGCTTGGTCGAGCAAGGCCGGCTTGTCTAGTGAGTCTAGGGCCATTCTTGGCAGGCATGCAAAATCCGTTGAGAGCTCTGAGGCCATTTACAGTGTTGAGCTCGGGCTTCCAGCTGTGAAGCAGCTGGAAGGCATCTTGAGGCAGGTGCGGGACAAAGAATTTAGGCCGGATGCGAGCCGTGCTGATATGTGGCGGTTCCCACCATCGCCGCCCGCAACCGTTGCTGGAGCCAAAGTGTCGAAGCCGTTGATCCCTTCTGTGGAGGTCAAGTCTGAGTCGGAGGCCAGTGATTCGGAGTCCTCAAGTTCGGAAGAGTCCAGCGGAGGCCATTCTGATAGCTCCGATTCTTCCAGCGGCAGCCCTCCTGCACCCAAGAGGCGTCCTCAGGCCGAGTCTCAAAGACTCATCCTTTCGGAAAAGGGTGGAGAGTGGGTCGTGCACAAGCGGTCGCACGTGTGGCATTGGACGTATGGTGTCAACATGTTGATGTGTGGCCGAAAGCGAAGTCACATGTACGTTCTCTCTGATAAGGGAGAGCCATCCGGGCCGGTATGCAGTACGTGCCGCAAGAACAAGGGTTCTTGAACCCCAGTGGCAATGGCCACAATATGGACTTGTGACAAGGGTCACTGCTGAGGAAGAAAGTTGCTTGGGCTGCGCGTGCTTGCGTCTGTAGGTGTGTTTCTCTCTTGTGTGCTGAGCTTGCAGTTTCTGACATGTGTCAAGGAAGACAGTGATTTGAGTCACATGGTGACGGACAGAGCAAGGGCTCAAGACCAAGGGGTCAGAGGCAAGGCCTCAACAATTCTCCATTGTGGGATTGTACAAGTAGCTGAATGCTTCATGTCATGATGTATGCACTCAACAACATTTCTGGAGCCATTCGTCTAGTTGCTGTAGTGTGACTAGATTCGAAGTGTCATGACTTCCCTCCTCGAGAGTGAAGCCCACCTGGACAAGCGTGCTGCCGAGGTGAAGTTCTCTGAAGTGGCCTTCAAGAGTCTCAAATTTCAGGGGTTCGTGACCCTTGGGCAGCTGGCATATAGTGTCGGGCAGCCTGGTCAGATCATCCCAGACGAGGCGTTCAATCAATTCGTAAAGGACACCATCCCCCGCGCATCGGGGGCCGACTCAGCTTGTCTCCGTCGCCTCATTTTTGAGGCTCAGACTTTAGTGCTTGCTGATTTGCGACAGCAGATTAACGACCCTGATGGATCATCAAAGAAGGTTCCGGAGGCTGAGCGCGAACAGCGCTTAGCTTCATTGCGGAAGCAATTACCTGGGCTTCTCATTGAGGGGCCAACGGAGCCAGGGCGGGCCCTCTTAGATGAGTGTGCGAGCCAAGAAAGTGCGTGCCAGCTTAAGTACATCAGCCCAGACCGCTGCATCTCTAGGACCTTTGAAGTCACGAATCACAAGAAGACTCCGAGGCAGCTTGAGTTAGATGCCAATCATCTTGTGGTAAAGAATCAGGAGGATGAGCTCACCATGCCCTCACACTCCGCGCTTCAGGTGCAGGAGGCCTTCCTTCGGCGAGGCCTTGCATATGTCTTTAGCCAGAGTGTGTCCTTTGATGCATATTCGAGGTACCTCTCGAAATTGTTCTCGCATATCCATCGCGAGCCGCCCCCGAACCATGCAAGAACCTCTGTGGCGCAGCTTGTCGAAGCCGATAAGCTGGTCTGGACCACGCTCATCGAGAGAGGTGTGAAGCCACGAAAGGATGCCACCGGGGCCTTCCCCTTGGACTCAGAGCTTATGCAAGCCTTGGAGAGCTATGAAGTGTCCTTCGGACTTATGCCGCTACGAAGTGGGTCCAAATGGGAGCCCCGCAAAAGGTTCAAAGGTGCAGGCAAGGATGGCAAGGACGACAACAAAGCCCCAGGGAAAGGTAAGGGTAAGAAATTGGCGAACCCTAAAGGGTACCCTAGTCAGGCTGGTTGGGGTTTAGTGCCTCGGGAGATCCTTAAGTTGGGTGGCGTTGCTTGCACGCCGCAAGGTGACCAGCTGTGCTTCTCGTACAACCTTCAAGGGGACAAGTGCAAGTGTGACGCTGCCACCTGCCCACGCAAGCATCTGTGCTGCAAGTGTTTCCAGCCGCACCCGATCGTGCAGCACAAGGATTGAAACATCGGCGGGGTGGGGGAGAGTGAATCCAACTTCAGATCCTCCCATGACCCGTCCGCGCAACCTTCGGCTCCTTCGGTGCCCGAGGGCGGTGAAGGCTCAGGTGCTCCTCGAGCCATAATCCCTGCGAATTCCAGTGTTACTGATGTTGTGCATGTGTCCGACTCCGATGATGAAACACTTAGTTGTCCGACTCCGATGATGAAACACTTAGTGTGGCCTTGTCGTCAGCTCCTTCTGCCGAAGTTGAGCCCGAGGCTGTAACTTGTGATGCCGAAACTTTTGCAGCTCGCCTCTTGAAACAAGCGGTCATCTCTCGTGATGCGATCCTTGCTCTTGTACGGTTGCTGCCTAGAGAACCTCCCCACACCGCGAAATCTGAAGAGCTCCCTTACCCTCAGGGCGCCTTTTATGCTGGCATGTACCGCAAAGGCAATGGCATCTCGGGCCTTCGCAAATCCTGTCGGGAATTCCCCTTGTCTGTCGCTGCCATCAATGCGTTCATGGCCCATGCTGTGCCTACAGCTTCTTACAATGCATTTGCCATACTTGACAATGTCGCTTCCCCTGCACACCGTGACCTGCAGAATGAACCGGTGGCCAGTCATGTGCTGGCCCTCTCTGCTTTCGCAGGTGGGGGCATCTGGGTGCAGTGCCCCCGAGGGGCCGTCTGCCGTCGTGTTGCTGGGGTTAACACTCCTGGCAAAGTGCTGAGCCTTGATAAAGGCCCTGTGCAGCTGGATGCTGCTTCGAGTTTGCACTCTACTGAACCTTGGCAGGGTGATCGTGTGATCCTGTCTTGCTACACCTTGAAAGGCTATGACCTCTTGACGTCTGACCAGTGCAACAGCCTCCTGCAACTCTCCTTCCCCTTGCCCTTGCAGGTTGGGCAATGCGCCCGCCCGTCACCTGTGGACTATGCGGCCTTGCGCGCCGCCACTGGTATACAGCCCAAAGCCAGCAAGACGGTACCCTTGGTACCGGAACATCGTGCTGTCATCGTTGTTCGAGGCCCGGCCCAACTGCTCCAGCCTCCCTGTGTCCTCAGACAACGCCTTGAAGCCGACTGGGCGGTGCCGACATCATGCACGTGTGCCTGGCCTTCCATTCCGAAGTATTCCCAACTTCTTCGGAGTGACTTGCTTGATGTTGAGGTTAAGGAGGGAAGTTCTGGGAAGGTGCTTGAACTTGCGTGGAGGATACCTTTCTCGCCATCTGAGTTTGTAGACTGCGCAGTGGCTGCAGGCCACCCCTCCCTGCTCGAAGCGAACCTCCCGCAGGAGCTGCAGGATGCGATTACGGATTCTTCAAAAATGACTCCCAAAAATCTTGCCTCACATAGGCTAAGGGTGCTCAAGGAGTGGTCCCGCAGGGCAAAGGACCTTGAGAAAAATGAGAAAGCCTTTAAAAGTTCCCTTCACCCCGAGGTTCGACCGATCCTAGCCGTCCTAGCCCCTAAACGCCTTCTCCTCTTTAAGAGCCTCCTGCAAGAATATGGTTACCCGGATTTAGATGCCTTCAATGAGCTCGTCAGTGGAGTCAGCTTGACCGGGGATGCTCCACACACTGGGATCTTCAATGCGGCGGAGCGGCATGCTTCTATGACTGAGGCCGAACTCAAAGCAAAGGCGAAGGTCATCCAGCAGGAGGTGCTTGGAAAGGTCACCAGTCAAGGAAGTGAGATTGATGCGATCGTGAAACAGAAGACGGTGGAGGAAGTGCAAAAGGGTTGGCTTGTAGGCCCCTTTGAGATTGAGGACCTGCCAGAACATGCCATCATAAGCAAACGTTTTGGCCTGCCACAAGCTTCTGGAAAACCCCGCCTCATCGATGATTTCTCAATTTCGCATGTCAATGAGTCTGTCGGGGCTGGTGAATCACCGAAGCCGCATACCGCCGATGTGCTCTGCGCAATACCCTTCAGTCCATGAGGGCCTTTCCTGGAAGAAAGTTCGTGGGTCGTGCCTACGACCTACAAGCAGCCTATAGGCAAGTCCCTGTCCATCCCTCATCATCGTGGGCTTCGTATGTTGCATATTATGACTGTGTCTCCGAATCCTGCCTTGCGAGCAATACCAACAGTTCAATCCAAATCTTCTTCACTCTCCTTGGGTGGGCCTTTGCGAGGGAAGGTTCGAAAGCCGAGCCGTTTGGTGAGCTTGTAACAGCATTGGGCGTTCGGCTGTCCCTTGCCAGTTTCCCTTCGGGCCGTGTGGAGCTGTGCAACACTGAGTCCCGCACCAACGAGTTATGCACGTCTATCCGTGCGATCATGGACGCTGGTACGTTGACCAAAAGTGCAGCACTAAAACTCCGTGGCAGGATGCAGTTTGCTTGTGGGCAGGTTTTCGGTAGGTTGGCCAAGGTTTGCCTCAAGCATCTCACTGATTTTGCTTACGGCGATCTGCCTCCAAATGTGCCTGCTAATCTTCTTCATGCGCTTCAGGGGTTTTGCGGGGTCCTCAAGGAAGCTTCTCCTAGACTGGTGCAGGTCATGCGACAGGAACCGATGTTTGTTTTCACCGATGCTTGCTTTGAGCCCTCGGCATCGGACTGGAAGTGTGGCATTGGCGGTGTCTTGTTCAATCATCGAGGTGATCTTATCGGGTCCTTCTCTCACTCCCTATGCGCTCGGCATCAAGACCTTCTTGGTGCGCAGGTTCAACAGACGATAATCTTTCCCGCCGAGCTTCTAGCCCTCCTTTGTGGAATGAGGCTATGGCTGCCGGCCCTGAAGGGGCGACCCACTGTATTCTTTGTAGACAACAGTTGCGCTCGTGACGTTTGCATCTCTGGGTCAGGCCGCGCCGCTGTCATCAAGGCCCTGTTGCAGGTGCTTCTCAAGGATGAAGAAAGTGCGGGCATTGCTTCGTGGTATCAGAGGGTCCCAAGCCCTTCAAATCCTGCAGACGACCCTTCAAGAAGGAAATGTCATCACGTCACAGTCGGTCGCAAGACTGTCAAGTGCACCCCGATGTTGAAGAAATAGTGGAAAAGATTTTCTTTGAATTTGAGGCTAATAAGGGAAGTTTGTTGTAGGTCCCTGCAGGGAGGGGTGTGCACACCCGTGGCCCGCCGTGGCAGTGCACCCCCTCTAAGTCCCAACCCTGTAGGCTTAGGTGTCGCCAAAGGCGAATACTTAGTGCTTGAAATCTCGAACTGAGATGACAAAGCGAGTGTCGCAGCACCTGCTGCGACAAAACACAGAGTGCTCCCTTGCTACCGACGGAAAAGAGTGTTGTGTGCGCGAGTGCGTTTGTGAGTGAAGCCTGCAACGTTCTGCTGTTCAGACTTGTGTAAGTTTTGTGCGGCTCTGGGTTCAAGAATAAACGTGCCGTCTCGCCTCGAGATAGCGTCTTATTCATGACCGCTTAACATTCAAAATATGTTTTTGAATTGTGCCGCACTTCGAAAAACTTCGGGCCCCACATGCTGTCTGATCTGATGGCGCTTGGCATATGCAGATTGGCTCTCAGGTGTGAGAGGAAACTTTTCTTGCCCACCCACGCCGCCCTGGGAAGTTTGTTGTAGGTCCCTGTAGGGAGGGGTGTGCACACCCGTGGCCCGCCGTGGCAGTGCACCCCCTCTAAGTCCCAACCCTGTAGGCTTAGGTGTCGCCAAAGGCGAATACTTAGTGCTTGAAATCTCGAACTGAGATGACAAAGCGAGTGTCGCAGCACCTGCTGCGACAAAACACAGAGTGCTCCCTTGCTACCGACGGAAAAGAGTGTTGTGTGCGCGAGTGCGTTTGTGAGTGAAGCCTGCAACGTTCTGCTGTTCAGACTTGTGTAAGTTTTGTGCGGCTCTGGGTTCAAGATAAAGGTTCTGATCTTCGTGGACAACGAGGCAGCGAAGGCGGCCTTGATCAGAAATTATTCTCCTTTGCTGGATGCCGCTCACATGTTGTCTGACATTGCGGAGCTTGATGTCGAGCTCGGTTGTTTTCCGTGGTATTGCCGGGTGCCGTCCAAGAGCAATTTTTCCGACGCTGCCTCCAGGTTGAGCTTTGGGGAATATGAGGAATGTTTCCGAAGGATTCAGCCGACCTTGGTAGTGTCTTAGGCAGCCATGCGCAGTGTGTTCGGATGGGGGGAATGTGGCACCGCTTATGATGGGCATTGGCCGTCGTGAGTTTTGTGCCTAGTTGCTCGTGATGTGCATTGGCCGTC